CCACTTTCTCCACGAATAACTTCGCCTGTGATAAGGTCCCAGTAGTAATCGGACCCAATCAAAACATCGATACCTTCTCGGTCGTTAGTCGTACAATCAGCCAACTCTAAATCATGCAAGTGTGGAAATTCAGATATATCAAGGTTTGTCCCTAATGGTGTGCAAATGACAGGAAAACTTAAGGCTGAAATCGGGAAACACTGTCCGTCACGATTCTTGAACTCGAGCGAAAACTCTTGACATTTCTGTGTCTTGTATTTGTTATTACCGAAAGTGTTTAATCGTAAAGTCTCACGTTTTCCTGGCTTTAAATCTAGTTTAGCTCGTAAACTGTCCGTAATATAGGACCTTTGACTGCCATTATCAAAGAGAATTCTCACAGGTGTTGATCGCGAACCATCTTCATTTATTGCAGTTGTACATGCAGTTTGTAACAAAACGTACCTTTTATTCGTGCTCGGTGCAGCAGCCGTTGTGATACCTTCGGTTTCCTCCAAATTCTGATCTTCTGGTTTCGGAAGCTTAGACTCGTGCCCTTTACCGCAAATCGACTGGTGATGTGATCCATTACAATGCCGACAGTTTCTGGGGCTCCTACAATCTCTAACGTGGTGCCCCTTGTAGAGACACCTAAAACATCGAGCAGAATTCTTCAAAATTGCTTTACGCTCATTCACTGACACGACTTTCTCGCATGAGGCCGAATAATGCCAACCACTACAAAATACACACTGGATTTTTGACCCAGTTTGCCCATGATTCGACTGTCCATTAGAACTTGGAGGCTGTCCTTCACCACCTCTTGTACCAGCTAATAGACTGTTCGCAGTAGGTGTCTGACCTTTCACACCCTCGTCTCGCTTATTGGGGGCCCCCCTCTCTGTCGTTGACCTTGTCGCTTCGCTAACTTCACGCGCTTCAATTTCGAATTTGATAGTCTTAAGTAAGTCCTCGATTTTCCATACTTCCTTTGTAGCTTTTCGGGCTATCTCTAGACGAATGTCACTTGGCATTTTGGACATTATAATGGGAATCAACAAACTGCCATACTGTTCTGATGATACGCCTAAGGAAGCTAGTCCTCGTACATGCACACTAATTTTATCGTACACAAACCTGAGGGATGTTAGACGATCTCCCGTACAAGCTTGTATTTTGAGCAGTTCATCCATGTGTGCAGTAATTATTTGCTGTGGTCGCCCGAAACGATCTTGTAAAATCTCTATTGCACTGTCATAATTTGCTCCGGTTAGAGTTAATCCTTGAATTGAACGTGATGCTGGGCCCTCCAATAGCGAATTCAAATAGTTAAATTTGTCTATCTTTGAAATCTCGTTATTATTGTGAATTGCGGATTCAAATGAATCCCAAAACGTATTCCATTTCGTTACTTGTCCCTTGAACTTTGTCAATGATAGTTTTGGTAACTTTGTTTTCGATGACGTCACTATTGATTCGGTTGCATTTGCACTACTAGTACTAGTGTCAAGATTGCTGTCATTGTGTATATTGATGCTATCGTTAATTCCACCCACGTTTGCTGTGTTACTCTCAGTTTGATTTGAATTCTCGACTGTAAGGCTCGCATTCGATGTGCTACTACCTTCGTTTTGACTTGAACCGTCGACATTTACAACTGAATTTCGACTAATTTGACTCACCGTATTCTTGCTTGTTTGTTCATATAAAAACTTCTCGACCTTCTTAATCGCGTTCAAAAGTCGTCCTTCTACTTCAGCTGCCTCTTCGATTTCGCCCTCGATATCTTTCACGTCGCATATTGTAATTATTTCCTCGTCAATTTCGTTCAACAGTTTCAACTTTTCTTGTAACAACTTGTTTATTATTTCGCCTCGACTCGTATCGCATTCATCGCTCGTAACTACCGCATCTACTTCCTTCGCAAGCTTCGTACTAACTCAGTAGAGTCGCACTGCTCGGAAGGTCGATTGTGATTGGTTATATGTAATTGGCGGTTGCAGTGGTTGCAGCCAATCATGTGTAAAGGAGCTGCAGGGAAAAACCTCGGGAAAAAGCTCTCGAATTATTCCAATATCAATCGAGTACCACGACCAGTATTCACGAAATTAATATCAAGATTTTGAACGAGTGGTTGCTTGTCTGTTATTTTTGGCTCTTTTTTAGTGGTTATGGATGTTAACAGTTGTGGAATCTTAACGTGTGGATGAAATTTCAGCGATATTTTCAGCGACTATAATATATACACTTTTGTTTATTACAGTATCGCCCGATATTTATATTAAAGGCGTTGTTACACTTTCACATCAACTTACAAATGAGCAAAAAATTGGAAAAACAATGTTGTGTCGATTAAAAAACAGCTCATAACCTTCTACATGTTTTTGAAATAATTTTTGTGTTAAAATTGGTCACGCGTAAACTTCTTTCGAAACATTGTTGCGTTCGTTGCGAGTTGGTGTTGAAAATTGCTATAAAAAGTTAAAAACTATAATTTACCTATAAGGCCAACTAGTTCATAAAGTGAAACATTAAAGCTTATAAGTATATTAATTCCAAAAGGCACAACTATAGAATACCCCACAAGGTTATTTAACTGTCTATTCAAATAACTAATTCATACACTAGAAATGAATAACTATTTATTGATTTGTTTTCTTTTAACATTTCATATAAAATCATACTTTATAATATATGGATTTTCATAAAGTTTAGAGATGTGGGGTCATTTACTAAAACGTGTTTTATTCATGGTGGGGTATTCTATAGTTATTCCATTGGTGAGTAAAATTATCTGTACCAAACACTATAGCTTATGGTAATTAATTACAGTGGACAATTAATTACCTATTACTGGTTGATGGGGACTTTGGCACTTTTATCAATTTAATTGTCCAATTTTGGATAATTAAAATATCAAGGTATGGATGAAATTCCATCTGTTAAATCACAGTTGGTTGAAGGATGAACAGTATCCCTTGATTAACCATGGTTAAAATGTATTAAAGATCTTTGAGGCCTGTTGTCCAGTAACACCCTTTTGTTTCTATTACTGGAACTCTGGAATGTTATGTTAATATGGTTTTGAATTGAAATTTGTTTTCATTAAATCACTGCCCTTTGTCCTCTGCGACAGCTTTATGCCCCTCCCTAGTGAAGGTCTTGTGTAACAGTGCTATTGTACTGGTAGTAGATAATGTAACAGTGCACCATTGTAATTAGATAATGTAACAGTGCACCATTGTAATTAGATATGACAGTCTTGAGCACATGTATATAGGGAGCACGAGAATGAAATAAAAGACTCTTAGAAACTGAATTCAACGTGTGTGTGTCTCAGGCAGCTCGGCCCGTTACACTTGAGTGTATATATTATCAAAATAGCCATGTAATGATCCAAAGTAATAATCTTCCTTCAGGAAATTGCAAGAAATAAAGTCAGAAACACCCAAAAATGGCAGTCTAAAACGCGGAATGGAACATTTGAGATTCTGAATTTTTATTCGTTTTTATTGCTAATTTGCAATACTTCTTGTATAAATGGGTAAATAAAGCCCCATTAGTTCGTACTATCCGTATTTATGTACGTATGTATAATGTAGCGACGTAATTGCTTGAATGTTTTTGAATGTGCATGGCGATAATTACAGAGATCTGAGAATAGATGTCAATCATAACGCTGTCAATCAATCATTGGTTTGGAATTGCACGTGTTCTGTTCGACCGCATTCTTCGTTTTCGGAAGTTGTTATGTAATCCAAGCTGATAAACTTGCCTTTTTTTGAATTGTGATCGGAAAATATTTCTTTCAAACTAAAGATTTTCTATTTCATCGTGTTAGCTACGCCCTTGGGAACCGAGATCGGAGTATAACTAAACTTTAGGTAAGTAAATTCTCTTCTTTTATTTTACGACGTTGTAAACAACTGATCAAGTAGATGCGTGTTTTCCTTTTTAAAGCATAACGATAGCTTTTAATTTAGTGAGTAAAATATGTACAGCACAGGAAATGCTATTTCTCCTCAAAGCCTTTTTGGACATAAGCCGCTCGAAAGCCTGTATATTTGAAAATCTCTCGTTGGCTGAAGTTGCCGAAAACAATCACACATGTACAAGTCTGTAATCATGAAATAGTAATCGAGATTTTATTGTTGAGATTCAGCAAAAATGAAATTTTTTGGTTGTACACATTTTTACAGCTAGTGTAACTGTATTGTAATATATGCACAGGAAAAAAAGACAACAGTGTTTTAAAATAAACAGTCTATACCAATATTTCGGAATTTAGATGTCGGCGACACGGTGTTGATAGATCGTAGATCATGCAGGGTCTTTGTATTCCGAATAAAGAATTATATATCATCGACAAATAAATCATGAAAAGACTATGTTTACACCACTGAAATACAGAATAGATGGAAGGATGGAAACTGAAGCCGAATTTCGGTCGGCTTTCAACATTAACATTCAAATTTTTGAACAGGCATTTTTTCTTCAAATCTCCCAACATTTTTATATCTATTGGCATACCTAAAAAGTACATTGTATGTGTAGTACCCGGTAGATGTCGTGTGCCGCAACTATATTTTCTTTTTCTTAGGGTTGTCGCTATGAGCTCAGCCTCAGGCTCAGCCATAAAAACGAGTACCAAGCGAGGGGCAAGTAGCTGTCCTCAATGCCATGCTACTTACTTTAACCGATATAAGCCACCGAACTGCCCAACGTGCAACTACGATCTGGGTGGCACATATATTCCAAGAAAGAAAGCGCGTTTGGCAATACCAGAATGCACTGAAATACTTAAAGGAGAAATGGCAATATATTCATCAAAGACCAGCTGTCACGACGACAGATGTTTGCTGGTGATTGAAAAGAATGGAAAAATTTGTCATCACCCAGAGTGCAAGGACATGCGGGCTGTTCTAGTAAACAGCGACCAACTGGCAAGTTTTGAATGCAAACATCTGGAAAAGGTGAAGAACTCCATTGAACCGCTGGCAAAATCATCAACTTCCCGGTGCTGGAGGCATATCCGTGTGATTTAACAACAAAAGCTGCACTGACCGAAGTAAAAACGACATGCGGCGAACATTTACCCATTGCAGTTCAGGTTTCCCCAACAATGTACTGCGTTTTTGGAAAGCCGACAGCTAACAACCCAGTTGGATACTGCCATGTCCGAGTGACGGAGACCACTGTGCGATGCTGTTCGAAAGATTGCAAGATGATGATAGGAAAGAGCAAACAACTGAAATCGAAGTGTCTCTGCATTCACGTGCATATGCTCCTGTGCTTGGGTATTGTCAAGAAAGATTCACCTGCGATGGGCAACGCCAACGACGAACCTACGCACAATGCCGTCAACGCCGAGAATGAAGACCACCAACAAGTTTCGGAAAGCCTGTCACGCTCAAATACAATTGAGCTAAACATGAAACGTTCACTGCCTACTCCCATTCCAAAAGAGATCATTTGCAAACCAGGAGTAATAGATTCGTCACCTGCTGGGTGGCCAGAAATCCTTGAGCCATCGGAAACATTATGTGGTTTATGTAGTAGTCCTCTTGGGGAAGGGAAAGCACACCATGGTTCTAGAGGGAAATCGTATTTGTTGACGGAGTTGAATCCCTTTAAAGAGATAAAAGTTCGCGTGAAAATGTGCACCAACACTAACTGCTCAGCAATGAATCAAATTTTCCCGTATGAGCTTGGTATGTTTAAGTAGTTTCTTTAATTCTTGTTGATAAAAATACGTTTTGAAGCCTATTCACACGACCCGTTTTTTGGGTACTGATTTTTTCCATGGATACTGACAAGTCAGTGAGGTATCAGATCCAGCCAAAAAGAAACGGGCCGTGTGAACAAGCGTTCTCGAGGGCAAAGCGGGCATTTATTACAGTGACAAACAACATTTGTTATAAAAGTGTAAGTTCACATGCAGTACTAGTTACCTAACTACTAAAAATAAGACCCACAATATGTCATGGACCAGAAAATATGTTCATGGACTGCTTATATATGAGCCCGTTGAGCTGCGTTGATTTTGGTTTCTAGGGTTAAGGGTAAGCTCCCGAGATGCATATTTTTCCAATTACCTCTTTCATTTTCAGGTCTTTTCAACATAAGCGACAAGATTCTAGTCCCGTTTCAAATTTTGCTGGAATGGAGAGAATTATTTAGAAAAGGAGTTCCAATCTCAATAGCGATAATAAGCAAACTTAATGCGATGGCAGAAAGGGCTGCAGTAAGTATTCCTATAGTGTTTCAAATAGATAAACATATATTCTGATAATTGATACCCAAACTAATATTGCCATCAATATTGGATCAGCGATGTTGATTATTGGAAGGTGTAGCATATTCTTCGGTCGTTTAACTAACCTTTATTGCGGTTAGATAGTCATTTACATACGTGTAGCTACTAACGATTAACGATATATATTCGTCTTATACCAGACTAACTGCCTGACTGAATAACCTTTCAACACTGATGATATATGTTGATGACACATACAAACGGTTATCCGATCACTGATACTGTTATAAGCAGTCTAATTGCCGTGAAACTGTTTAATACCAGTGAGTCAATTCCTTACAGGAGCCGCCTGAACGAAATGTAATTGAAAACTTGGCAAACTACATTTACAATGGCTACTACTGCTTCGAGGCTATCACTGACCGTGATTTAGATTCTGTTGTATGTGGGATATGCGGTGTCATCGGAAATGTGTACTTTGGCGATGGAAATGAAAAAAACTGTTGCGGTATTGGCCAGGTAATTCACTCTTTCCTGTCAAATAATAACTATTGAAATTATCAGCAACTGATTGAAGAACTTCAAAGGGACATTATATATAGTATCAAATATTTGTATACCTAGCTTCGGGATGTATCGATATTCGATAGCCATTAAAAGGAGTCACGCATTTCGTATCATTTGGTATAGATAGACTATACGCAACCAGAAAATGTATCTGAAAGTTCGCCCCCGACATTGGAACCCTTTTTAAATAAAATAAAACGGCGGTGGGTAGAAAGCACCTCATATACGAAAACAGCAGAAAAATTCAAAGTGCACGTGGCTGATATCCCACCTGTAATTGCTCCGTCAATGAGAGGCACCCGCCTGTATAACACAGAGCTACAGAAGAACAGCACATTTCTGAAAGAGAATAAAAGCACAAAAGGTTTGTTTTTCTATTGTAACTCGTTTCCACTATTTGAGGCGACTTTTAAGTTCAGAGACATAATTAAGTAAGGCATATTCTATTAGATGTTCAATTTCATCAGCCAAACAGTAATGCAAAACAGCTTCATGAATATTCCTCCCTTTACCTCAATACTCCCTTTCGATAATCACGTCACCGGTCAATTGGCCCGCGAGCTTCGCTTAATGAATTGAAACCATCCTTATAGTATATACTTGAATGTTTAACTAATCGAAAGCGAGGCTCCCAGGCCAAATAAACAGTGAATTACGTAATTATCGCTTAGCATCGACCATCTAACGTTCAACTATTTTAGCCCAATTTGAGAATCTACAACAAAGTTCGCTAAATCAGTTAATATTATATACATAAATTTTACTTGCACCTTACTATTGTCTATTATCAAAAGATTAATCAAGAGCACAGTAAGAGACTTTAAAGCACATACGCGGTGTGCAATAATTGCCTTCGAATATGTTTACTAATATACAGCACTAACTTGTTCTCCAGGTGATCCTGCATTACTGCATTCCATTATTCGAGAAGGAAAATTGGATATGACCAAGTTAAGAGAGCTTGATGAAACATCGCTGAAGTCCTTTTGCCAAGATTGTCGAATCCCAATCGGGGGGAAGTCAATGGTGAGTGGTTTTTCAGAGTTTTAAACATGCGAGTATTACATATAATATGTACTACCGGATGAGCGGGGAGATGTTTTCGTGGTTAGCAATTAAACAATATACTGCTGTTACATTGGAACTCAGAGGTAGCCATAGAACAGAACATATAAAATAGTTGAATAGTCAATTCATAATATCTATTTCAATTTCTACTCTACAGGAAAAAATGCGTGTTGCATTGCAGACCTTATATGAAACACTATTGGTGGGATCAAGCCCCTGTCATGGCTTTACGAAAGTTCCTGGTCAAACTGGTGGTTTTTACCATATAGTTTGTCGTCATGGAGTGAGTAAATATTTAATAAACTGCAGTCAGTACTTGTAGTGTAGTTAATATCAACCATATATACTGATTGTTAAAATGCATAATTGCATCATTTTTTTATAAGGTGACCGCTGCTTCGAAATTCTTAACTCTGCAAGAATCTGTGAGAGATGCTGCAGACCTCTACCTTTCCTTCAAATATCCACCTTTGATGTTCCTGTGTGATACAGCATGCGGTTTCGCTCGCCATATGGATTGCCGTGTTCCAGAAGTAGCAAATCAGCTATGGGGAAAATTTTCTGGATGTTTTGAAGAACCAACTTTGGGGAAACCTCCTGCTAAGGTCATTTGACATTTATAATATGCTTATAATATTCAACACATAATTAATATATGAGGTACTCTACTAGTATTTTTGAATCTGTCCGACGCAATAGTAATTTACCTTTGACGATTGCCACAATCATCGCAATATAGCGAATTTGGGAAGTGTCTATCGAGATGTTACTATCTGTTTATAGGATAACAGTGTGCCAGTGCTTGCTACTGCCGAGTATAGGAGTGAGGCCACAGAAGCAACCTGCTATGATGATGGGACATTTAAGCATCCAATTACTGGGAATGCAAGAAGATATGTACTTGGTGATAGGTTTCATAATTCTGCGAACCCGCACAAGTCTCCTTTATGTGATTATCACGATATTAATCTTCTCCTGCAATCAAATACCATCAAGACAAGCTACCAGGAATGTGAGAATAACAGAAAAAACATCCGTCGACTCAGAAGTTCATGTGTGCAGGAATTTGGCACTCACTTTTTTTACAATTACCTCATGGACTACTTCCAAAATGAAGATATTGTGAAAAAGCAAAGGCAGCTGGCAGCTGCTAATTTGAAACCAAATCAGGAACTGAAAAGAGACAGGTTTCAACGTTTTGTTGTTATTAACAATGAGTGAAAGTTAGATATACCATCAAGTACAATGTTATGTACCAGTTAATGTAAATTATTAGGCCCAGTTTATACACAATGCTTGCCATCAGATCAAAACATGATATATCATGGCATGCAGTATTTACAATACCATACTTTGTTTGAAGCTGGTTTACGTTTTATACCAACACACACACTATAAAATGAAATAGAAATGTTTTCTTTGTAAAATATAGAAAAAAATGCAGGGCATCATGTAGTGGGTCACTTAAGCCCGCCGGTTTTCCACTGGGCGGAATTTTACGCGCGGAGAGGAATTTTTCATTGTCTGCGTGCTTTCATGCTCCGCTCCGCTCTGCCTTGTGGAAAACAGGCTTATTTTGGAGCAAGCTGAACTAATGAAGTGACAATTCACATGTATTCACTGTAATTACAAAACTATATTATACTTATTTCACGGCCGCACATAATGCACATTGTACTTACCAATGATGCCATTTACAACATTTATCACAGCCAACCCAATTTACCGCCTTGCCATAAATTAGATCCTCTGGGGGTTCATCTTGCCCACAAGTATCACACACAGATTCGTCATCATTGGATACTTAATGTTTAGAGATGAAATTCAAATAAGTTTAACAGGGCAATATAACGAATTAACGATACAATAGTCACCTACAGATCGTACTAGTGAAGTGCACATCATATACAGGGTGTCTCAAAAAAAACGCAACCACTTAAATATGCAGAACATTAATACAGCTCTAAAGCGCAATAGATACGCACCTCTGGGAATTGAAAATGGCGCTTGATCCTCATTTACAATGCTAGAAGTAATTTTAGCTGAACTATGGTGCAAACCCGAACAATATTAATATTCTTGCATATTTAAGTGGTTGCGTTTTTTTGAGACACCCTGTATATGAGCGTATAAAACAATCAATAATTACATTCTATGGTATATAATGACTTATAGCTGTACAGCACGTTAATAAAAATTATTTTAAACTGCACACATATTTGAAGAGTTGTTTAAAATACGTTCTATTAAACTTTTATACGTTTAAAAATCGTTCTATTAGCATTATTAATAATACTAATTTCTGCAAGGCGGATTTGATTCTATGAAATTGCATATTATTTTTATATTTACCATCATTTGACAGCGTCTCTGTATCTCTTCTCAGAACCCCAACTGTTCCAGATACAGGTTCTGTGAACAGCGCCCTTCTTCCGTCTATGCATAAAAGTGCATAGTTACGTTTTTACATTAATATTTCTCAAAATAGTGTATGCCTGTTATGCCTAATCGTTCCCATAAACTGCGTATTGCTTATTTTAAATTTTGTAAAATGTTGTTGTGTTACATTATAAAAGTCTGAAGGGGTAAAATAAGGAGAAAATAAAGTATGGAGTGCAATCATTGATGTTAACAATTTGAATGTTATCATACATTCACATAAGTAATACAGCCGATTTACTACTGTCCCATTGAAGAATAGATCAGAAAATAAAAATAAAAACGGTAGAAATACAAAAGCTATTATATCTTGTATACTTACTACTCTTATAAGTATTTTGACTTCTTTCTTGGGTGAAAACCCCAACACAATCAGGCGCTATATCTTAAAGGATTGAAGAAGTCAATATAGTTATAGAAGTATAGTATTTTTAATACTATATAGCTACGAAATACGAATGATGCAACTTAAAGGCACGCGCGTAATGTTCAGTTGTCCTACTCGAGCTCTTGTTATGTCATGTTATTTGCATTTATTTCATCCATTTCGTTATTACCTTGATCATCATTTTGATCATTTTCATGATCATTTTCATCATCATTTTTATCATCATTTTCATCATCGTTTTCGTCATCGTTTTCATCATCATTTTTATCATCAATTTCATCATCATTTTCATCATCATCTCCTTTTTCGCCATCTTTACATGGATAAGAAATAATGTGTTATTTTTATGCCAACCTAACCTAGACACAGTATAGTTCAACACGAATCAGACTAAATTGTAATGTATATACCTTGGTCGCTGTCATGTCCCTCGTATTGTTTGTTTGCTATTCGCATTCCGCTTTCAACACCCTTTAGAGAATAATCACCACATTTTAGAGAATAATCATAAATTGCAAAGTTATAACGCATATACTAGCTAATCATTGATTAATCGATAAATGGTTTTGATTGAATACTTCGGCAGTAGTTTTGAGCTATTTTTATTTCAATTTATATGTTAATTCTTGCGTTCTGCCTCAACAACTTTTCGCGGGGCCCACGAATTCTCTCGACGGCCCTGCATATCATAATCCATGCACGTACCTGAATGAAGACTTTTCGCTTTCTGGGAGTGAGAATATCATACTTTCTCTTGGAATTTGGTGACATATTCTATAAATATATTTAGAGAAAGCCTTACAAAGTTTTTTTATTAAGAGTATAAAATCTAGGTGCATGTATAATCGGTATATTATTTACCATTTTGACTGGTATTCCTTAGTAAGGTCTTCGTTAACAATTGTTGACAATAACGATAACACAGAAATGCACAATACTTAATTCTAAAAAGAATTTGTTCTACTATACTTACGTCTGTAATGTGCTCTGATAGGTTTTCAGTAATTACTTCTTGCTCTTCTGAATGGACGTCATGGTTATCATCTTTAAATGGCAAAGTGGCATTATTGCTTGCATATATTTTTCCGTTTGTATGCAGTAAAATCGTATCAACAAGGAGAAAATACTATCAATAGGAATACCTGCAAAGATTTGGCGTATTGACTCAATAGTGACTTCGATTAAATCTTCCACTGTCTCGTCTATTTGCGCTTGGTTGCTACGCCTTCGGCTAACTTGAAATCGTTCACCTTGTTCCACGCCAAGTACACCACATGCTATACAATCAGGTAAGAATTCATAATATAATTATGCGACTTACCACATTCTACTTGCATGGTAATATTTAACAATTAGTCGCCGAAAGCGAGGTGATTACAAGCCTATATTCACTGAGCTGAAGGCGAAGTGAATATTGGCTTGTAATCACCGAGCCTGTATGAGGCGACTATATAATTGTTTTAGTAAAAATTTCGAGGAGTTTACAAATAATAATCAACATAGTTTTATAAAAACGTATAATTACTTCAAATTTCTTAGTTAAATTACAACAACATATTCACGGGCCAGCTAGTGACTATCGCTTCAGTGACAGTGAATCTTGACCAATCAGAATGCAGGAATATGAATAGTTACCTCGAAATTTATACTAAATAGTATTCACTTTGTAGTTTATAATATATAATATATAAGACTTACCACATTCTACTTCGTTAACAAGGTTTTTATCAAGCACGTGTTTAGGAATTTTTATGCCTTTTGCACCACGCGAGAGATTCTGATTTCGTTGTCTCAGATCTGCTATGGTTGTTTCGCTGCTTTTTGCGAAATACAGCGTCTGTGTTTTTCCCGTGTCGCACAACTTTAACAATTCTCGTTGAATCTCCTGTAAAATTAATAAAATGAAATGTTAACAATGTGAAATATGCTGCATGTTCCGCCACGAGTTCCATAACTTTATAAATATTTTTAAAATATGGTTTATATTATATATAGTAGCCATATATATGAGGTTACACATTTTATTTGCCTAGACGCCTCTGCCTCTGGTTCAAGAGAATTGCTTGTGCGAATGCATTTTGTGTATTACCTCTCTTCTTATGCTGGCAAAAGTCTCTAGAACTGAGATAGCTAGGCCGAACGCTGGCTGGAACGTGCCGCTGCATTTTACACTAGTGTGTGGCGTTATCCACTTCAATGCCGCCTGTAAACGAAATTGAAAAACATAACTGGAGAACATCGCCAAGGTATAAATTATAATATATATGAAATGTTCGATGTATTATGCAGGTCAATGCACATCACCAAGTAAATTGTTAAAGAAATTTATCAAATCTAACATTTGCTTCTCCCTCCTCCAGTTTAGACTGAATTTCTTCTTGAAGTCTTTCCAGAAAAGGCAATTCGTCTTCCTGTTTATTGGCAGTGGAGGCAAGTTGTAAAAATGCTTTTCTCAAATCCACCTCTTTCCCTGCAGCCACATGAAACTACAAAGTGAATAAATTGTAAGAATTGTCATAGAAAGCGTGATTTTGATACATACAATACAAACTTGGTTTGACAATAACTTTAAAAGAGATAATATCGCAATTAATATTGTGTCTTGTTAACATCTTGAGTTTACAAGATGTTAATTCTCGTAATATGTTTTCACAAAATTGTCTGCTAGTAAAGGTTTTTTGACTAAATATGTATAATAGGTGTTTAATGTAACATTTTACTATATTTTGCTAAGAAATAATTATAATGACACAACAAATGGCAGTTCTCACCTCATATACATATAACATCGAATTTGGACTAACCGTTGCGTAAGTGTATATGACCAGGGAAGCTCCTTTATACCAACGCTGGTCTCTCCCTGGCACTATTTTCTTCAGCGTCATCTTTATAGTTTTGATGTTGCCGTCTGTTATGCCTCTTTTCCAGATATTGTGATATCTTGTAATCCAAGCAACCACGAACCCCTTTATTGCAATATGATAAAATTGTTCTGAGAGTAGGAGATAGTAATTTTGAAAAACATCACCACAGACCGTCATCTGAATTAGCGTTTTTTCATTTGAAAATGCTCTGAAATATTCTTTTTATTTTTTTTTTGTCTCTCTTAAGATTGGTGCCAGTGGGATCATTTGTTTATACAAAAGTGATGATGGTAGTTTATATTATAAAGAATGCTGGATAATACGAACCATATTTGCTTCTACTAATGATTGCAGCTCTTCCAGCATTTGTTCGTGTTCTTCTCCAAATTGTTCATCCTTTACATATTCGAAACGAATAACACGGCCATCTAATCTATACGGATATACATGTAATAGGAGGTTGGTACCAATACAGTTATGTCATTGACACGATAGTCTTATACATGAAAGATATACGAAGGGATTTTGCCCGAGGCCGAAATATCAA